ATGGATCTTGAGGCGTTGCCGTTAAAAGCTCAGATGGTGCAATTTTACAATACACCTGGGTAAATATCTGGACTCTAGTCGGATAGGTAAGAAAAGAAGGATAAAATAGATATGGAATGTTGGATAGAGAACGTTGTGCTAATTGAGAACGTTAAAAAATGTAGAAACTTCAAATTATTTGATCATAATATGAAGCATAAAAATATTTCGTAATGGACAGTTACATAAAGTTCATAGCAGCATTTTCATATTTATGATATATGAAATCTTGTTATAATGTTTTTGTCAGATTATGATTTGGCTCAATTAACTTTGGTATGGGTATACGGAACTAACTAATAATAATCTTATGATTTGTAATACTAGAAATAATAAAAATATTTTTTTTCGCAATCATACTGATAAATTGGTTAGTATAGTATTTAGGAATGCATATCACTCAACTTGCTATCAGATACAATATTTTTAGAACAAACTTAGTGGGAGATTGATGAGAATTGACATAATAATTACATGATTTTAACTTTTACTCATATGTTTGCTTTACCTTATATTTTTGCCTAACAATATCTTTATTTTCACTTTTGTTGGATATATGGTAAACAAAGTGAAATTATTGTTATTTAAATTATTGCATTTAATTTCTAGCTTTATAATAAAATAATTTCAAAATGAAATACTGATTTTATCTATAAGAGTTTCTGAACAATAAATATGGTTTTGTAGTTATATTTTATGCTATTATAGAATTAAATTTTTTATAATATTTCTATTAAAATATTAATTAGCTTAGAAAAATCAATTGTGCTGATTTAAAACAAGTTATGTAGCTTAAGTCTTTCGAACGTAATAAATGTGTATTTGGAAATCTATGTTGAGTTATCTATCCAGAATGTATTATGTATTTGGAAATCTTTGTTGAGTTATCTACCCAGGATGTATTATGTATTTATAGAAAATAACCAAAAAAAATATTCTTGGCAAAAATAAACATCAAGTCTAGAATGGAGAATTCCAAATCGATTAAAGTATTTTTCATCACAAAAAAGATTACATTACGGACTAACATTCTTTGTTTTTAACTGAAATTTTAGAGTTCGAAAAAAACTTTGAAAGTTCAAAACCCGATAAAAAGTTTCGGAATTTCAAAAAAAGTTGTTTTTTGCTAAAGTTTTAAAAAAAGCTAAACAAACATAGTAAATAGGAAATATATACGATATTATGTCTTACGATCAAACATTTGTTTGAAAACGGTGATATTAAACACTTCAAAATAGACATTGAAAATATAAGTAGAGAGATTTTCTTTGAAAAAAATTGCAAAAAAAAAAGAACTCTGGAATTTGAAGAACAATCTGGAATGGGTGCAGTCAAGAGAAAATAGTCATTTTTCAAAAACTAAAAAATTATTATTTTCTTTGAAAAACTCGTTTACATTGATTACTTTACTGCATTTCACTTCAAAATCACCAAGATAAACATGGGATTTGCATTAAAATTCATTTAAATGTAATATAACAAAGTTGGTGGCCATTTTGGTCCTAACCCTAGGGTTGAGCAAAACCGAAACCCAAAACCAAAAAACCGACAAAAACTGATAAAACCGAAACTGAACCCAAACCGTCGGTTTTGGGTTTAGATTTTTCAAAACCAAAAAATTCGATTTGGGTTCGGATTTAGGTTTAAAACTGATCCGTGAATAAGACGCAAGAAAGATAAAGGCTCTCGGGTCTTGACGTACGGAAGACGATGATGCACTGAATTTGTTTTGTCTTATTATAATTATTGGAAGATAGGTTGAAACCCAAAGCTCATCAACCAATGGGTTGAACCCGCAACCAAAGAAATCGACCCATAAACCCAATAACCAAACTTGTTCAAAAACCAAACCCAGTGGGTTTCAAAACCCAAAAATCAAAATTATCGATTTAGGTTCAGTTTCACCCTAAAACCGACCCAAATTGACCCATACACACCCGTACCTGACCCTAATCTACTATAATAAATAAAGGTTTTTGTTTGCCATTTGTCACATTCTCATCCAATTTATCAAATGTCATTATGTGGTTATTTTGAATTAATTTTTTTTCCACATATCATTTTATGAGTTTTTCTATTTTATTAAATTCAATATAATATTTTAATGTAATAACTGCAATGAATGTAGTAATAATTGAATATTAATTTCATCAATCAACTTACCTTTTAATTTCAAAATTTCCAAAATTAAAGCTCATTAGTTTCTTTTGTTTATTTATTTAAATTACTTGTTTAAATTTAAAATATAAAAAACAATTTCATTATAAAAATTCATTATTTTTTTTTATTTTCTTATAAACCCAAATTTCTCAAATATTTTGACCTTTATATATATATATATATATATATATATATATATATATATATATATATATATATATATATATTAAATTAACTCATTTAATACATGAGTCTCACAACTAGTTAAATATATAAGATGACAATTAGTTTGCTTCATATTATGTATCTACTATAATAAATGAAGGTTTTTTTGTCACTTCTCACACTCATTCAATTTACCAAATGTCATTTTATGGATATTTTGAATTAATTTTTATTCCACATGTTAGTTTATGATTTTCTATTTTATTAATTCCACATAGTATTTAAATGCAATAACAAATGCATATTAATTTGGTTTGTGCTATAAGTACCCCCCTTAACCAAATTTACCCCCTTAAACATAATCCAATCAATTTTTTGAAAATTGATTTGACATCATTGTTTTGTTTATTTTCTTTTTTGTTTTCTTTTTTTGCATTTGATTTGACATTATTAGACTTTATATATATATATATATATATATATATATATATATATATATATATATATATATATATATATATATATATATATAAAATAAAAAAGAATTAAAAACCGATTTTATATAGTCGTTCGAATTTATAATGTAGTCCGATTTATAAAATGTTTTTCGAAATTTATAATAGTTATATTAATATTAAAATATAAAATAAAAAATAATTAAAAACTGATTTTATATAGTTGTTCGAATTTTATAACGTCAACTGAATTTTTAATGTCGTCCGAATTATAAAATTTTGTTCGAAATTTGTAATAATCATAATAATAATAATAATAATAATAATAATAATAATAATAATAAATTAATTAAAGACAACAAAAAAACAAAATAGGAAAGAAAACAAAAAAAAAACAACAAAAGACAAAAAAAATCAAATGCAATGGATGGAATTGGGAAAGGGAGGGGATACTTATAGAAAACTCCATTAATTTCCTTAATGAACTTTCCTTTTAATTTCAATATTACTAAATTAAAGCTTCATTATTTTTCTTTATTTATTTATCCAAATTATTTGTTTAAATTTAAAGAAAAAAACACTTTAAGTTTTATAATTCAATATTTTTTTCATTTTTCTGATAAATTCAAACTTCTCAAATGTTTAGAATTTTATATTTAATTTTTTCTTTTAAATAAACTCATATAATACATGGGTCTCATAACTAGTATATCATAATGAAACATTTAGTTTAAGCTCTCTCTTTGATAATTTTAGATTTCATGATTTATAATATCAAAGACTAAATTACATGTTTAGTCCAGATGTTTGGTTTTCATAACACCTTTGGTTCAACTATCGCTAATATTGTAGAAGTAGTCCCTTTTACAACTTAAATTAGCACCTTTGGACCCGCCCTCTTGACAGTTATTATATTTCATTTAAGACTCATCACATGCCATGCACATGAGGGCATTTTGGTCTTTCCACCTATCTTTATGTCACTCCCTCTCTCATTTCACACATCTCTCTTTGACTATATTTTGTTAACAGTCACAAGAAAGAATACAACCATTGGTTTTTCTCTAACTAGACCACACAACCATGATTTGGATGTTTTGATTGAGAAATAAGTGACTTCAATTAAAAGGCTATTGCTAATTGTACTTGAAGTTTATTATAGTTACCAAAACTTAGGTCTTGGGGTGGGTTAACGTGGACCACTCAGATAGTGATAAACCCTTGGAAAGTCCTCGTGTTGCATTGCCCAGTTACTAGTTACTTAGATCATGTCAAGAGGGATGTACCAATGGTACTAACTATCAACTCCTTCTTTCGTAACGTTAAAGAGATTGGAGTTACAACACTAGATATTTTCAAATATGTATTCGCGTAACATAATTGGAGCCTACTGATTGAGGAATAAAATTTCGTGCAGAGTTCAAACTTTGGCGCATCCAAAATATTATTAGTGTTAAATATTGACTTCGGCCTTGGGGCGGTTGATGTTGTTGACATAGGCCGCTTCAGATGGTATGGTACTATGATTTACCATTTTTTTCAAAACTTATTTATTTAAAATAAAATGTTGAAGGATATTTAAAGGCTGTGACTATGTAAAGGTTGTTAGTATTTAACTTGAAAGAAATTTATGGTTTACTCAAATAAATTTTTATTTAAAGACATTCACGGAAAGAAATTTAAAGGCTGTTATTATATAATTTGCGTATTATAGGTACCAAAACTTATTTATTGAATTAACTTTAAAGGCTGTTGCAGTATAATTTGAAAGAAATTTATGGTTTACTCAAATAAATTAATACAAAGATATTATTGAAAGAAACTTAAAAGCTGTTACTATATAAAGGCCGTTACTATGTAATTTGAAGGTAATTTATTGAAAGTAATTTATGGTTTACTCAATAAAAATTTATTGAAAGATTTTTAGTGAAAGAAATTTAAAGTCTGTTACGATATATTTTGCGTATTATAGTTATACCATAACTTGTTTCTTGAAAGAAATATTGTTTCGTATATAATCCTGTTTTCTTTTATACACTTGAATGTGTACTCTATGAGGTGTGAACAAAGAATCTTTGTTCATATAATTACTAGGGACTTTTCTTTTTTACCTTTTAAAATTAAATTGAGAAAAGAAAAGTGATACGGTATAAAAGAGAGCTTCAAAGTCTTTAATGTTAGAGAAAGAAAAAGTTATACAGACAAAAGAGAAAGTGAAGGAGAAAGAGAAAGAGAGAGAAAGTGATAAACAAATAAATAAAAAAACATAATTAAAAAATGCGATCAGAAGCATCTGAGGAGAAGATAAAGAGAAGGAGAGAGCAGTTGGAATGGTTCGAAATGCAAAGTCTTGAACTTGTCTCTGAAAACCCAAGCCCACCCTTGGGTTCTTCTTCACAAAACAAAGAAACCATGGAAATGGAAGGAGAGAATAGTAAAAATGCAGAGAAAGATAAGGGTGTTTCAGTACGATTTGGAGAGTTATTTAGATTCGCAGATAGATTAGACTATGTGTTAATGGGTATTGGAACAATCGGTGCCTTTGTTCATGGTTGTTCGTTACCTATTTTCCTCAGATTCTTTGCTGATCTTGTCAATTCATTTGGCTCCAATGCTAACAACATTGATAAAATGACTCATGAAGTGTTAAGGGTAACTTTCTTTTTCTCCAAATCCAACTTTTTCATCATAAATAACTTCATCTTTTCTTTTCTTTTCAAATTCTTGCAGTACGCATTTTACTTTCTTATAGTTGGAGCTGCAATATGGGCATCTTCATGGGCAGGTATGCTTGTTTGTTCTAAATTCTTCACCTTTTAGGGATCAATTTCAATTATTCTTGAAAAAGATTGGAAATTTGACATGGGTTTTATTATTTATTTGCAGAGATATCATGTTGGATGTGGACAGGAGAGAGACAATCAACAAAAATGAGGATCAAATATCTTGAAGCAGCACTGAGTCAAGATATTCAGTTCTTTGACACTGAAGTCAGAACTTCAGATGTTGTATATGCGATCAATACTGATGCTGTTATGGTTCAAGACGCCATTAGTGAAAAGGTGAAAAAGATCAAATCTTTTTGTTGGGTAATGGACTCATACATATGAGATTATTAACTCTGTGTTTGTTTGTGTGTGTGTGTGCGTGCGTGCAGCTAGGGAATTTTATACACTATATGGCGACATTTGTATCTGGATTTGTGGTGGGATTCACAGCAGTTTGGCAATTGGCGCTTGTGACACTTGCAGTGGTGCCTTTGATTGCAATAATTGGAGCTATTCATACAATTACATTAGCGAAACTGTCTTCTAAGAGTCAAGAAGCTCTTTCGGAAGCTGGAAATATTGCTGAGCAGGTGTGTTTTATACTTTTATATAGATATAATTCCCTTAAATCCATAAAATGAATTCAAGAAAGTAGTAATTTCTCTTTTATTTTATTTTATTTTTTTTTTTTTCATGTGAGTTTGCTGAATTTGAGCTAAGTTCAACGACATATCAGTCTTTCCTCTTATTTTCCCATCTGGGTATTGCTTGATTTGACCTAAATTCAAGATGACGAATAAATCAATCGTCCCCTGTTTTTTTTTTTTTTCTATTTGGATCAAGGAAAAAAAAATCATTTTTTCCATGTTTCTTTCGATTTTTAAGAAATATATCAGTCTTTCCTCTAATTTTCTATCTGGGTATTTCTGAATTTTAGCTTAATTCAACAAATGAATATTGTTTTTCTTTTTGGGGAAAAAAATCCATATTTTTCTTGTTTCTTAATCTGACTATCAATATTTTAGAGCAAACTTCAAAAAACAGTTAATCTTTTTATGTTTTATAATCTGAATGTTGTTATATTTGGACAAACTGAAGCGAAAAAATATAAAAATAAAAAAGACATGCATGTTCTTGCATCTGGGTGTTGGTTGAATTTGAGCCAAATTCAAGAAATTATTATCAATTTCAAAAAGCTAATCCGTCTTACCATCTGGATACTTTCTTGATCCATCAAAAAATACAGACAATCGCACAAATTCGAACAGTTTTAGCATATGTTGGTGAATCAAGAGCATTACAAGCCTACTCTTCTGCATTAAAGATCTCACAAAAACTCGGATACAAGACTGGATTTTCAAAAGGATTAGGATTAGGAGCAACTTATTTCACTGTCTTTTGTTGCTATGCTCTTCTTCTATGGTACGGAGGCTATCTTGTTCGCCACCAGTACACCAATGGAGGTCTCGCCATTTCCACCATGTTCTCCGTCATGATCGGTGGCCTGTAAGTCTTCCTCTTTCAAAAAATTCCAATAAAGCCCATTAATCAATCTCGTTTTATTCTAATTATTCCGATTCCAAAATTCAAATTTTGACAGAGCTTTAGGCCAATCAGCTCCAAGTATGTCTGCGTTTGCGAAAGCACGAGTAGCAGCGGGTAAAATCTATAGAATTATCGATCATAAACCGAGCGTCGACAAAAACTCTGAATCGGGATTGGAATTGGATTCCGTTTCCGGCAAATTAGAGCTGAAAAACATCGAATTTTCATACCCTTCAAGACCAGATGTTAAAATTCTAAACAATTTCACTTTAACTGTTCCTGCCGGAAAAACAATTGCATTGGTCGGAAGCAGTGGTTCAGGGAAGAGCACGGTGGTTTCTCTAATTGAAAGGTTCTACGATCCCACCTCAGGTAATAATCAATCTCAATGTACAACTCTACACGCACATAGTACAAGATGAATACCTCTAATCTTGCTTAATTTTAACACAGGACAAGTAATGCTTGATGGGCATGACATAAAAGGTCTGAATTTGCGATGGTTAAGGCAACAAATTGGTCTAGTTAGCCAAGAACCTGCACTTTTTGCAACCACCATTAAAGAAAATATCCTCTTGGGTCGACCCGATGCATACATGGGTGAGATTGAAGAAGCTGCACGTGTGTCAAATGCTCATTCGTTCATTATCAAATTACCAGATGCCTATGATACTCAGGTAGGTTAAAAACTTATAATCTTGTTTTTATTTTGTGGGTCCACTTTGGTAACTTTTATGCTTTGATATTAATGGTGATTGTTCTTGATTTTTGGATGCATTTGGAGGGTAGGGTTTGGGTTTTCTTTAGTTAAAGTTGGTTGCTTTTTGGTTGTTTCCAAAGATTAAAAATGAGTGGCAAATTTGGTAAAAAAAGGAAAACCTAACTTGGTGTAAAAGTCAAATGTAGTAAGGTAAAGTTTTCTTTCGAGGGGATGCATTAATTGAGAAGTTTGAAACCTGGTTTTTTCAGTCAACACTCCATGTGCAAAATGCAGATTTATGCAAGAAACAAGAACATAACTGTAACACCAGTGTGTGTATGTGTAAAAGGACAATATCGGTAAATATAAAATATACACAACTATACACATTTTATAATTCATATCAAATGTACACTGTATCCATCACATGACTGACAAACGCAAAGATTTCGGTTGACCAGAAGCATGTTCAAGAAACAGTTTGACCATGTACTCCCTGAATTTGTTGACTTTTATGAGTCAAACATGTTGCTTCCAATTTTGAAAATTTATGAGCATCTGTTTTAGTTTGTGAGAAAAATCAGCAACCCTATGGAATTAGATAGAAGTACTATGAATATGATTTCAAAAGTTCAAAGATTGACGTTGAAATGGTAAATGCAGGTTGGGGAGAGAGGATTACAATTATCGGGTGGACAAAAGCAGAGAATAGCGATAGCAAGAGCAATGTTAAAGAATCCAGCGATCTTGCTTTTAGATGAAGCTACAAGTGCATTGGATTCAGAATCGGAAAAGTTAGTGCAAGAAGCCCTAGACAGGTTCATGATCGGAAGAACAACTCTGGTGATCGCCCACCGTCTCTCCACCATACGAAAGGCGGATCTCGTGGTGGTTCTGCAACAGGGTAGAGTTTCAGAAATCGGAACTCACGATGATCTGATCAGCAAAGGCGAAAATGGCGTCTACGCTAAGCTCATAAAAATGCAGGAAGTTGCACATGAAACCGTCATGAATAACGCCAGAAAGAGCAGTGCGAGACCTTCAAGTGCGAGAAACTCAGTGAGTTCACCTATAATGACTCGGAATTCGTCTTATGGGAGATCGCCGTTTTCCCGGAGGTTATCTGATTTCTCGACGTCGGAATTTAGTTTATCAGTCGAGGGAGGTTACCCTAACTACAAACTCGAGAAGCTTCCATTTAAAGAGCAAGCAAGCTCGTTCTGGCGGCTGGTGAAGATGAACTCGCCGGAGTGGAGCTACGCCTTGGTTGGGTCGGTGGGTTCCGTCGTTTGTGGGTCCCTCAGCGCATTCTTTGCCTACGTTCTCAGTGCAGTGCTCAGTGTTTACTACAGCCAAGACCATGAATACATGATTAAACAAATCGGAAAATACTGTTATTTATTGATCGGCGTGTCATCGGCGGCTCTTATTTTCAACACCTTGCAGCATTCTTTCTGGGATGTCGTCGGAGAAAATTTAACAAAACGTGTTCGCGAGAAAATGCTAGCGGCAGTTTTAAAAAATGAAATGGCATGGTTCGATCAGGAGGAGAATGAAAGCTCGAGAGTCGCCGCTAGACTAGCTCTGGATGCAAATAATGTCAGATCAGCGATTGGTGACCGGATTTCTGTCATCATGCAGAACTCCGCCCTCATGTTGGTGGCCTGCACCACCGGATTTATTCTCCAATGGCGTCTTGCTCTTGTTCTTGTTGCTGTCTTCCCTGTCGTTGTTGCAGCAACTGTTTTGCAGAAAATGTTCATGCAAGGATTTTCCGGCGACTTGGAAGGTGCACACGCGAAGGCCACCCAACTCGCCGGAGAGGCGGTGGCAAATATGAGAACAGTGGCGGCGTTCAACTCAGAGTCAAAAATAGTCGACCTTTTTAAAACCAGTCTTGATACCCCACTTCGTAGATGCTTCTGGAAGGGACAAATAGCCGGACAAGGATTCGGGATCGCGCAATTCTTGCTATACGGTTCATACGCAATCGGTCTTTGGTACGCTTCATGGCTCGTAAAACACGGAATCTCTGATTTCTCAAAGACAATTCGTGTGTTCATGGTTCTCATGGTGTCAGCCAATGGTGCAGCCGAAACCCTAACCCTAGCTCCTGATTTCATCAAAGGCGGTCGAGCCATGCAGTCTGTGTTCGAACTCCTCGATAGAAAAACCGAGATAGAACCAGATGATCAGGACTCAACCACAGTGTCCGACAAGATCCGAGGCGAAATCGAACTAAAACACATCGATTTCGCCTACCCTTCCCGCCCAGACACTTTGATTTTCCGTGATCTTTCTTTACGCGCTCGGGCCGGAAAGAGCCTCGCTCTGGTCGGCCCGAGTGGTTGCGGGAAGAGCTCAGTGATCTCCCTGATACAACGATTCTACGACCCGTCCTCTGGACGGGTCGCAATCGACGGAAAAGACATCCGTAAATATAACTTAAAGTCACTGCGTCGTCATATCGCAGTGGTCCCGCAAGAGCCCTGCCTCTTTGCCACCACAATATACGAAAACATCGCGTATGGGCATGAGGCGGCAACAGAGGCAGAGATCATCGAGGCGGCCACCCTGGCAAACGCCCACAAGTTCATATCCGCATTACCTTCCGGATACAAAACATTTGTGGGCGAACGCGGGGTGCAGCTCTCAGGCGGGCAAAAGCAACGGGTGGCAATCGCGAGGGCGTTTTTGAGAAAAGCGGAAATTGTTTTACTAGACGAGGCTACGAGTGCGTTAGATGTGGAGTCAGAGAAGTGTATTCAAGAAGCGCTCGAGCGTGTGTGTTTGGGGAAAACAACGATTGTTGTTGCGCATAGGTTGTCGACTATACGAAATGTTCATAGTATTGCGGTTATTGATGATGGAAAAGTGGTGGAACAAGGGTCGCATTCGCATTTGTTGAAGACTTATGTGGATGGATGTTATGCGAAGATGATTCAATTGCAGAGATTTTCGCATGGGCATGAGGTTGTAAACATGGCATCCATTGGTTCGAGTTCAACCTAATTACGAAACCAACATGAGGTATCTTGAGTGTTTTGTGTAATTGTGTTCTATTTTTTGTTTTTGTTTTTCTGGTTGTAACCTTAATATATAATGGTGAGTTTTAGTTGCATAGTTTATGTTGTTTACAGTAAATTATACCAAAGAACCAATGTACTCGTCAAAACTTAACTTAAACATCGGTTCTCTAAGAATTACGTACAAAAAATATTGAGACAATGAGACATGTATTTTCAAATATTAATGGAAGTCGTTTCATATTTTCTGTAGCAAGATGAATACTACAGTATGAGTGTACAACTACAATTTTTTTAATTTATCTACCAAGTACTTATAACATAATAGTTATATATTTGTACTTTTTTTTAATGTTTTTGTTTAAAAGTATATCACGTGAAGTTGAGCATAATTACAAGAAATATCAGACTACGTCGGTTTTTTCTGGTTTTTTATGTTGTACTTGTATCGTTGAATAAATTACATTTTTTATACATAATTTTGGTTCCAGTCGAAAACTTTATGCCAACAATGGTCTATAAAAACCAAAAATTGGAAGAGAAAACTATTGAGAATATTTATGGATAAACCTTGGGACCAAAATCATAACAACTATTTGAAAATAGACACCAAAATTACAAGAGAAAACCATGTTGAACAAAATCTACAGTTTTTGAACAAACTCGTACCAAAAACTGAACATTTTCCAATCAACAACATACACTTGATAACCATATATTATAAACATGGACTTTTAGGAATGAAAATGCAAGGATGTTTTCTTTTTCTTACCGAGTTTAAAGTATTAAATATTAGGTTATTATAAAATACCAACCAAAAATATTTACTTCGTTTTTTAGATCATTTGTCTTTTAATTGGACCAACAAACGTGTTCAAGTTATTTTTACATTGTTGGAGTAGATTTCGAAAGAATAACTATATCATATTGAATGTCACATTGGACAGTGGTGTCATTGTGGACACAAATAAACAAATTTATATCATATTAGATGTCATTGTGGTGTCATATTGAATGACACATTGGATAACTATGTCATATTGAATGTCACATTAGACACAAGTAAACAAATTTCTATCAGATTAGATGTCATTGTGAACACCACATAGGATTTAACAATTAATACAATTGTACTTTAGTTGAAATCCACAATTGTAGAAAGTTGTTGATTGGAATGCAAGGTTTAAATGAGTATATAGTGTCATGGTCTATTGATTATAAAGAAGAAATGGACCTAATGTACATATAACTTTATCTAGACATACATACATCATTCAGTACTTAATGAAGGAAAAGGAAAAAAGAAACAACCCCTTAATTGAGAATTGTATATATTTCACATGGTGGTCTCATATGGTGATAGCAACCAACCAAAGTTTTGGTAACAAGATAGAGTGGTCCACATGATTAGGTCTTTAAGTGGCTTTCATTTCATATGCCAATGTTTTATATCTTGTGACAATAATTGTACTCTAATACTATATAGTTTATATGTAATGTTTACACTCCATGAAAACAATAGTACTAGTACTCTAATACCATGGAAAGCAAAAAAGAAACACAATGAAACTAACTTCAATTTAACAAGAAAATGAATAATAATACTACTTCTATGATATTAATTTGTGTTTTGAAGGTTGATTCTTCTTACATTGCAGATTGAATTCAAGAAACATAAAGTATCGACAAAAACAGAGAAACTAAGCTCACATGGACATTAACTTTGGTCCATTATCGGGCATGCCCATTCCAGCTGCCAGGTCAGCATCGAGCTGTGTGTGTGGTGCGGGACCCGCCATTATCTTCAATCTGCAAGAATCAGAAAAAGCTCAACAAAAGAATAACGATAATAAACTAAGTTTATGTATTGAGTTTTCTGTTTTATTATGTTCTCTGATTATGTACTATGTTTATGCAGTTTCCACCAAAAGTAGATGAAAAAAGATGTAAACTTGCTTCTTCTTTTATCTTTTCCTGTGTTTTTTATAAGGGTCCACTGTGTTTATTAACTGCAATGTACCATGTGTATGTCCATGGCTAGTAGTTTCTGAATTCACAGCATTAAAAACTCAGACGATCTTGTAGAAGAGCTAAACTTCCACTTCAGATGTCAATGGTTTTGAATCAAGAACATAGTCAATATGATCCTCCATGTAAAAAGTAGTTTACTTTAGTTTTTTAGCTTCATAGTTGATGATTGAGTTGTTTCCACAAGCATAAATGAAATTCAAAGCAAAACAACTGAAAGCAGCTAATCTGATAAGAGCTACCAAAAAAAAACATACCGCTTCTTGTGCTTTTTCGTCTTGAAATGGTCATCTCTCACTGTGATGTTCGCAAAATACCGACTGAAATCGCAAACAACAGTTCAAAATTAGAGAAAAATATATAAAAAACCTAATTACAATATGATCTCAAATGAAATATGATACGAAATACCAAATGTGTAGAACGCAATTACTCACTCGCAGTGTAAACAGTAGTATTGACCCATCCCAGGAAGATCTTCATCTAATGGCAACGCCAACTTCTCAGCCTCTGGTTTCTTAAGCTCGTCATAAACAGCATCATCACGTGAGATAATGAAGTCAAGGATAATAAACCCCAAAAACACAGATATTATGTAGTTAACTTGTAAGAAAGAATCAAAAGAACGACGAGAAAAGGATATCTTTAACAAGGAATTTATCGCGACGAAACGTTTTGTGAGAATATCTTCTCTTCTTCACCCTTCTGTGTGGACACTTTCCTCCCATCTTTTACCTCCCGCAGTCTGAAAATTGGGAAAATTTTCTCTGAAAACCCTAACCCTAGGGCTTCGATTGCCAAAAGAAAGAACCGGTTGGCTTTTGGCTGGCTATTTCACGAGCCACCGGTTCAAGATCGGGCCGAGTTATATATGAATGAAGCCCAATTTCTTAATCTTGGCTTTCTTGCAAATTTAGAATATGTTATCTTTTCATTTTTCGTATATTTTCTTTATGAGATTTTTTGAATAATTTAAATCCAATTATTTTTAATAAATTTATTTCTTTGTATCTTAATTTTTTTCTATAAATTGGTTTGTATTTTGAAGTGTTACAATCTTATTAAAAAGTTGTACTTGTATAAAGAGTACGCAAAAAATCAGTTCATAGACCAAGTTATAGAACTTGCACATAAAAAATAGTTCGCTATATACGGTTTGGTTATTATTTGAATTTTTAAAAAATAGTTCTCGATCCTAAAAGTATTTGTAAATAAAAGAGTTTTTGATAAATTGTATTCTTCTTACTGATTTTATTGATTTAAATAATGATTTTTTTTTGATAAACTACTTTATAAACTAAAATTTTCAAACACTCAAAATTAACTTATGTTTTGGTATCGAATAAACTCTAACATTTTCTTAAATTCTATTTTTGCATCATAAAAGCTACTAAACACTTCTAGAAATAAGCATAAATTGTTTTAAATAATATACAATCTCAAACATCCCCAAAAATCTCTATTCAATATCAAATATCTAACTTTGTCGACTCTAATGCCACTTATATGATCATATCATGCTATAATCAACAAACCCACAAATTAATTATACCATTAAACTTCTGCATGTTTACGTAAGAGAAAGTTGTTTTAACATCTAAAACAACAAAAAACCATCCACATTCCCAAGATTTACCATACAACCAAGTATAAATCACCTATATGGAGCACCAAATTTGCCATTAGTCATCAAATAAGTTAAACCCAAACCCAATAATCGTAACATTCTTCTACAAACACCTAAAACTCATGCTTCACACGTCCCTTGAGAATACCAGGCACCGAAGGCAACTTTGACCCCCTGCCAGGTGGCATGTTGGGTCCCAACGAGGGACGAAACATGGAAGATATGCTTGAACCTTCAACTCCATCAACATCAATAGCCACATTGTTTGCCACGTCATCGTGTTTTGATTGGTCAGAAAGCTTCATTGCTTTGAGAACATAGTTGTCATCATGTAGCTCAAATGGGGTGCTACAAAATCAGTTTAACTATTAGTTAAATATATAATTCCAATATTACCCTCAATAATGACGACATACATAATTCTTATGCACTCACCTGTTGAAGTCAAAATGAACAAGTTGCATATCTTCTGAAATTTCCACTTCTACAGTTGCATGAGGTCGAGTCTACAATTATCAGTATGTTTGACTTTTAGTCAAATATCAAATATACACAATAAAATAATTAAAAAAAAAAAAAAATTACCTGTACTAGTATAAAAGGCAAAGCCACTCCGCCACTTGGCGCATTTCCAGAGGTGTATAACTCTTCATTCCTTTGTATCAGATTTTGAAGACCTACATACTTTTAAAAGAACAAAAAGATTATTAGTTTCAGACTTTTAAAAAAGAAAAAGATAAAATGATAAAGACTCTCACTTGATCTTGTAGTTCTTTCAAATAAGCAGTTTTCTTCTCGATTCTACTCCTTATAGCAAGACGTTCACCCTGACATATTCAACAGAAACTATATAAAATCTATGTGTTTAAAAAAGAATCTTGATGAGTTTTTATATAAGATTAGAAATATAAAAGTGGACCTTTATCTCTTCAATATCATTCAAGGTGGATCGAGGAAGACCTTTCCATTGTATTTCTTTTTTATCTTTAGATATAATATCCATAGCCATGAGAACATTCAAAGCATCATATACCCTTCTGCGAATGTTCTTTTCATCATACTGTTGCTGTCATAAATATTCAAACAAAACAAGAATTTTATAAGTATCAAATACAATTTCTTCATACCCAAATATCATTCATAAATATTTCTTTATACCTGATCAGGGGTTTGACCACCATCACCAGGGTCAGCAAATTCAGCTACAAGTTCATCTGCAACTTCATTATAAGTAGTTCTTCCCTTGCTTTCCACTTTCTCACACACTATGCAATATCAATATCAAAATAAGCATTACTTTCATATATATAAAAAATTAGAAAGCATTGAGACAAAGTAGGAACCTTTCATGCTGAATTGGCGAAGTCCTCTGCCTCCTTTGTCCCCTCCAGTTGCACGTTGTGCTCGCTTCTTCTTTTTGTTACTAATAAAAACAAGAACTGAAATCAACACATAGTCCTATTTAATGCATTTAAGAATTTAACCACATCATTATTAGCTAAAATGGTTATTAAAGCCCAAATGTCACAAAAAATATGTGCCAATTTCAAGAAAGTATCAAGGCAATTTCATCGTTCTTTCTTATGGTGTTACTAAACCAATAATTATGAAGTTTTCTGCAAATTAAACACTTGGCATTGTTTATATATGAACATTCATATTGATTTTGTAGCTGGGAAAGTAGACAGCATAAACGGCATACAAAAATGGAGTTGAAACCAAATTTCTTACCCAGCAGCTGCTTGAGATCCAGCATTATCTGTCTGAATATCAAGGTGATTCAACCTCAAAAATGTGTTCTCGCTAGCGGGTGTCACCGCCATGGTGGCCTCACTCCGGGTCGAAGGAGACCCGACACTGCCACTTGTTGAAACGGATTGACCCGAAGCGGTGGTGCCCCAGGACCGAGTCGCCCCACCTCCTCCTCTCGAAACAGCTGATGATGGATGTTTATCCCCAATAACTTCATCTTGATTATTCGAACCCGCAGTCACCATCAATACCCACCAAAATTCATCAACAACTTGCAAATTGGATAGATGCCCAGGTGAAAACTTGATTGGATAAACGTGGGATTTGACGGAAATTTTTAGGGATTTGGTGAGGAGACAGAAATTTAGTCTTAGGACATCAGCAGAGAAACTTCGTCTGTCGCCAAAAATTTACTGTCTTCAAGACGAGAACAAGAGAATCGATCGACACTGTATATGCTGCTTGTGATTTATATAGCTCGTCGATCAGACGAATTGCGTAGAGAAAGAGTGTGGAGGTGACTGGTGAGGGGGAAACAACGAAGGGTTTCAGGTTTGTATGAAAACTGCTTTGGGAACAAATGTGATTACTTTTACGAAACTAATTATTAGGTTGCTTGTTTTTTAGATTAATTATTAAGTCATTTAATTTTACAATTAACATCGTCTTAAAAAAACTAAAAAATACAATATATTATAGAGATTTTTAAATAGATGACAAAAATGTCCTATAAATTTTTTAGATTAACTATTCAGTCCCTAAATTTTTTACACTTTTTAATATGTGACCTAAGGCATTAATTGAAATTTTATTACGTTATCATAATTGAATGCAATAAATATTAATTATAAATAAAGTATCATTTATAATTAATATATTTTATATTTATTTATGGTAATATTACACATAATTAACGTTTATCATATTTAATTATAATAATATTTTTTATAATTAATATTTCTTATATGTGCCATAGGACACATATTAGAAAATCTCTATATTACATATAATAAGATGTTTGGTTCGTAGAATTATATAAAGAAATTGGAATCTATTTAATCTAATTAATAGGAAATTGAATTTGGATCTAATTCTATATTTTATTTGATAGGAAATAGAACTGAATGTAAAATATCAAAGTTGTCCTTTTTGTTTTTGCTTTAACTTTACTTTGTTTTATAATTTTTATGTAAATATATATTATATAAATTATAAAACTAGTAAATAGTGGTGGTGGCAATTGTGGTGGGTGGTGGTAAATTGTGATAGGGTGATGGTGGGTGGTGGATTGTGTATGGGTTTCATTCTAAGCTCCAGTATGAAATAAGAATTTTGGTACATTCTGGAGTACCAATGTCTGAAACAGAAATCTATGTGTGATTGTCAGGCTCGTACTTTGAAGTGACAAAACGAAGTCACAAATACATGTTCCGGAGAACCTTTCCATACAATTATTCCAGATTATAAAACTCAATTTTCCCCCTACATATATATGTGTTTGCATGTACCTAAACGCTTACTTCCGATCATCCGTAATTATCTCTTATAATTGCTTGAAGATGAGTTTCTCAAAGAGTGTATACAAAGAAAGCTTTATCAACCTCCCTGTTTACCTGCACAACATTAGGTGAATCAATCATGATACTTACACTCACATCAAAATTGATGTCATGGATCATTTCCAAGCTTGTTTTGTGACTATTAGATGTGTGGTATTTTTTTTCCACATTCCTATTGTTTCTTTGAAATTGATAATGTTTCTACATCTAAACTAATTGTTTTGTATTCCCAAAAAAATACAATTACATGCATTCATAGGTTGCTTTATGCATATCATCTTCATAGGTAGTGTATGTCTAAGAGGGAACTACATAAACACAATGTTCATAGCGGTTGCTATCGACGGGAATAACCAGACCATCCGTATAGCGTTTGGTTTGGTCATGGAAAATAACATCGATTGTTGTATCGGGTTCCTTATGAAGTTAAAGGAAGCTCTCGGAGAAGCTAGGGAAGTATCGTTCATAACTAATATGGACGATTTAGTCAGATCTTGCATAGGTTAGGTATTCCCTGATTCTTATCATGGGTATACTTGTAAAAGTGTGTTCAAGTATATGCACATAAGAGTTGGTGGAAACAGAACACTGGAACCTTTGTTCCGAATGACATCCAACTCATATAATATGTCTGATTTTGAGAAAAACTTATGTCGTCTAACCCATGATACACGCGATGTGTTTGTCAACATCGGTCATGCGAAATGGACAAGAGCCTATTTTTGTAACACCTATGTTCCAGATTAGTTTAATTTAAGACTTAAGAGATCAAATAAGGAGTTATTGGGGAAAAACTCCATGCCACGACGTGGTGCTTAGATGCCCACGACGTGGCATAACTTATATGGATTACATGCATCTGATGAGTGCCACAACGTAGCGGTAGTATGGCAACGACATGGCAGCTGTTTTGCCCCAAGCCTATAATCTTAGGGGTTCTCTCGTATTTAAGCATATTACCCCATGGATCAGGGCATCCTCCTCAGCCTCCATCGCTCTCAAATCTCAGAAACCCTAATGTTAATCCCTCTTGGTGATTCTTGACTCATTTTAGCGCTTTTGGTAGCTTGAAGAAGAAGAAGAAGAAGAAGAATGTGTTATAGTGTATTGACCCATCAAGGAAACCTCATCATCATTCTCTTATGCATATTTTGGACCATTATAAGTGTTCAAGATCCAAGCTTTAAGTTTCATGCATCAACATCTAGGTCTCTTGTCCCTTTTCTTCATGATTATGGAAGTTTGAAGGAATGGATTCCATAAATTTGGCAACTTTATGGATCCTTGAGGTCCCTTTGAGGTCTCACGTTGTAGATTTAGAGCTTCTTGGAGTTTTTGGGTCCCGTGAATAAGTTTGAGTTCATTTCTCCCATATTTTTGACCTAAAATGGAAGAGATATGCATTAGACATGTATGTCCATAAAGCACCATTTTTTATGATCCATTAGGTGTAAGAAAGCCTTCTGTAAAATATGGATGAATAACCTTGGAAATTAAGAGCTTAATGGATAAGTTCATGCTTCATGGGGTCATTAATAGCTAAGGTTTATAGATTTTGTCTTAATGGATAAATTTGGAAATTTATCCATAAAGACCTTAGAGGGTTTCATATATGAGCTTTAGAGCTCTTGGAATCGGACAGAGTATCTTAATGTATTAAGTTGTTGAAACTCGGTAAAACATGACGTGTTTTCAAGTCAACACGGCGTGTTGGATGGGATTTTCCCGACTGTTTAGATAACGGTGAAGCACAGCGTGTTCGGTCAACATGGACTGTTGACTTTGACTATGACCAGAAGTTTGACCAGGGTTGACCATAGGATATTTTGGGCCTTGGGTGTTCTTGTGGAAATTGGGCTTTTGGATTGTTGATTGGGGCCTTGGTTTTGGGCCAAGTTATGAAAAGGGTAAAAAGGTCTTTTACCCTGGTTTGGACACTTTGTATAAGACGGATCCAATTATTGATGGATGATTAACTTGTGATTGATAGTGTGGGGTTTCTTGCGAGCCAGCAGCCAGAGATTCTTTCGGTGAGATTCGGCAAAGCGAGGTGAGTCTCCTCACTAAGGTTAGCGGGTTTAACGCACCAATGTCGGCCCATGGTTTTCTATGTAGATTTCTAGATGTCAGCGTGACTCTTTCATACGTATGTGTTTGTATGCTTACTGGGCGGGGCCCGATGGTTATTCTGTATGCTAGTATCAGGTTATGCATATATGATTTGTATGTGGGCGGGGTCCAATGATTGTGTAATATGCTACTATCTTTGTGATTTTCGCATGTGTTTGAATGTTATATGATTATATGGTTATATGTTTATTGGGCGGGACCCGTTATGCGAGTGTGGACAGGGCTCGTATCTCAGTGGGTGGGGCCCATTATGCGAGTGTGGGCGGGGCTTGTTATGCGAGTGTGGGTAGGGCCCGTTATGTGATAAGTTATGTATGGTATGTGGTATCTTGGGGAACTCACTAAGCTTTGTGCTTATGGTTTTCTGTTTATGTTTCAGGTACTTTTGGTTCCAAAGGGAAGAGCTTGGGTTGAATGCATCGCACACACCACATGAATTCCGCTTTTGAGATATCACTTTGATTGTTATGATATTGAGATACTTATTTTCACTTGAGTTGTTTGGATAATGTTTTTGTAATATTGTTTTATTTAAATTAAAAATGAAAATTTTGGTCGTAGTATTGGGACGTTTCATGTTTAGCACCCATTCTTTGGCTATAGGAGCTATTAGCTGTGGATTGCGTCGGTAAGGTGAGTCTTCTCACTATATTGTGTAAGATGCTAGTTGTCTTTGTTATACTTTCATGGAAGGCCGGGATATGGCTCTTGGTAATTGAATAAAATATCAGGATATGCCTCTTGGCAATTGTATGAAAAACCAGGATATGGCTCCTAGTAATTGTATGAAAGACCATGATATGGCTCCTGGCAATGATATGTAAGACCATGGTCTGGTTCCGACATTTATATTTACTATGACAGTTTTTTTGTGATGCTCGCATGGAAGACTAGGAGATGGCTCTTGAAACTTGTATGTTGACCAGGGTTCGACACCTGGCATGGAAAGGAAAGACCATGATTTGGCTCATGTCTGATAGTGACAGTAAGACTATGGTTGGTGTAACACCTCGATTTTCAAGTATTTTGTAACACCCGGAATTTAGAAGGTCGATTGAGGAAAGAAAAATATTCAATTAGAAAGCCAACTCGTCGAGTCCTTGGGGAATAACTCGACGTGTTGGAAATCAAGGCTGCTTGATTTTGGAAGACCAACTCGTCGAGTTGGAAAGGACCAACTCGACGAGTTGGACGGGGTTTGGGAAACCCTAAGTCCGGGATTTTGCACCCTATTTAAACACCTTAACCCCCATAGGTTGGCCTCATTTCCAACCTCCATTATCCTAAACCCTAACCTCAAAAAACCTAAGGCAATTGTGGGAGTTTGTGAACCATTTTTAAGGAAGTGTGTATGTTTGAAGAAGAAGAAGCTTGAAGAAGGAGTAAGAGCTTGTAAGAGGATTGTAGATCCAATAGTTGGGCTTCATTTCTGGTTTATTTGAGGTATAAAGCTTCAACCTTGTCTAGAGCATGTTTAGATCTAGTTTAGGATGTTTTGCTTCATGTTTTGGTCCAAATATATTGATGGTTGGGATTTGGACGTCCCACTTGGGCAAACCCTTCAGATCTAGGGTCTTTAGGGGACTTCATGGCATAAAGGTGCCAAATTTATGGCCATGGAAGTCCCATGCAACTTTTAGATCATATTTTGGTCTTTTAAGCCCTAGTAGGTCATGTATGCAAGTAAAGATGGGAGCTTTACGTGACCAAATTGTCCCTAGACTCCAGATCAATGACCTCATGGTCTACCTTGAAGTTTTGGTGGCTTTTAGAGTTGGATCTAAGCCATTTTGGATTAGGGTTTGGGCTTTAGGCCTTAGGAGAGGTTCTTCATGGGTAAAGTTGGAAACTTTGCCCTCCTAACCATATTTCTAGCTTGGATCTAGAAGATGAGGCCTTAGTT